ACGCCCCCAATCCGTCATGTACAGCAATTCCCCGACCGTTCCCTTTATGCAAAGCCCAGGAGGACCCCCAACGCCACCTTACCGAAACAGTATGCGCCCAATCTCTATGGTATATGGCGCGGACTCGTCTTCATCACTCTCCAAGCTTAGCCATCCTTCGACCTCTGGACACTCGACGCCCACAAACCCCAACATGGCCTTTGACGAGAGCGGCCGTTTCTCTCCTCTGCCATTACCACAAGAAAGAGGTTCCTTCCGCGGATCGCCCCACTCGCCTCATTCGCCTCGACCCCATTCTGTGGCATCGTTCACCTCGGGTAGAGGCTCCGTTTACGGCAATGGGTCCATGTCGAGACGTGGACCGGCGGGCCCCTCGTACCTCGACCGTGTTGAAATTGTCCTTCCACATCCCCTAGCAGCTGAACAACAGAGACCTATGTCAGCTATGGCCTCACCCAATCGATATTCCATGTACAATGTGCCACCATCCCCGGACATGCGACGGATGAACATGCCAGCTCGCCCGGTATCAATGATGGTACCACCCTCAGCTGACATACGAAATACAGGTACGTTTCGGCTGTTTTGTTCGCCATCATCGTTGGCTATGAGCTCATATTTTTACCCTTTAGATTGGACAGGACGAGTGACCAATGATGATGTGCAGACAACCTCCTCTTGTACGGCTCACGGGAACCGAGATGATAACCCGCCACCATTACCACCTAAAGGCAGGCCCGACCGAGCTCAGCAGATGCCACCGCTGGCCACTTCGGCATCAGGAGCCCCCCAACTCCCTGACATGTTCGCCTCCACTTCCCCAAGAGAAAGGAGTACATCCCCCCCTGAACCCCTGTTATCATCTACTGCCTTTGTGGGCTCGTCAACGAATGGTTCTGTCCCGAACACAGAAGAATCTGTCGAACATTCTGCTTCGCTTCCCAAGGGAGTCGGAAAGGAGACCAAAGTCAAGACATCATGAGAAAGAGAGAGAAAAGACCTTATCAAAAACGCCCCCCACCTGTTGTTTTTTCACGCAAATAGATATGGAGGTGAACTGTGTATTCGCTGAGGGAAACCGTTTTTTTTGCAACGGACTCTTAGATTGTTCCACCCTTCTTTTCATATGGCATTTCTTCATCACTATCCGCATTTCCCCTCTGGCATTTAC